GTACAACTGACAGTGGGACCACCTCAGAGACCCTCAGACTGGGCAGCGCAGCAAATATGCCAGCTGCTCGCACCGATACAAGCAGTGTGTCCTCCAAACTGGAAGCCAGTCTCAAACGTCTAGGAATCTTGTAGCCTCAGATGCGACATACACGACACCTGGAAACTGAAGACTCTAATGTGACGTCCATGTTGGCTGGAGGCTCTGGCGTGGCAGCCATGTTGGGTCGAGGCCCCTGAGTGGCAGCCATGACATGACGAGGCTCCGGCGTGGCGGCCATGACATGGAGAGGCTCTGGCTTGGCAGGCTTGACGTGAGCAGACTCTGGCTTGGCAGGCTTGACGTGAGCGGGCTCTGGTTTGGTAGGCTTGACGTGAGCAGGCTCTGACTTGGCAAGCTTGCCATGAACGTGACGAGACTCTGGACGATCGGCTGTGACGTGACGAGACTCAGGCTCTGGAAGATCAGCTGAGACGTGAGCAGGCTCTGGCTTGGCAGGCTTGACGTGAGCAGACTCTGGCTTGGCAGGCTTGACGTGAGCAGACTCTGGCTTGGCAGGCTTGACGTGAGCGGGCTCTGGTTTGGTAGGCTTGACGTGAGCAGGCTCTGACTTGGCAAGCTTGCCATGAGCAGGCTCTGGCTTGGCAGGCTTGCCGTGAGCAGGCTCTGGCTTGGTAGGCTTGACTTGAGCAGGCTCTGGTGTCTCAGTCGTGGCATGAATTAATCCTGACATGACGGTCGGGGCATGGAAATGCTCTGGTGTTGTAACGAGGCTTCAGCAGAGTGAGGATCCATTTGCAGCTTTATTGTAATCTCAGTTGTACAGATAGGGTCAATCACCATCAAACACAACAATAGTGGCAAGGTGGCAACCCAGAAACAGGCATAAGGTCAGGACAGGCAGAAAACATTCAACAATAAATCCACAACAGGAAACAGTCCAGGGCAGGCAGCAAAGAATCACGGTGAGACAAACACAGGAAGAAACGCTCAGAAATGTTCACCGGGGCAAAACAAAACTTCACAACTAGGAAGAGTCTGAGAGCTGTAGTCCTAAAGGGAGTTAATATTCGGGAGAGGGATCCCTCTTGTGGCGAGCGAGAGGAACTGCGGAATCCTCGTTTGTGACAGGTGTGGTGGGTTCTGGAGGATTGCAGGATTCCTCGTCAGCAATCCCCACAGTAAAAGAAGATACACTTAATAACAAGGCATAGTTAATGTATTTAGCCAAGGGGAAATGGATTTTCCCCCTGGCATTTGAGAGCGGATGGGTTCGTTCAAACCAAACCAAAAAATGTCCTTAAGTGCCATGTCATTAAAATCAACTATGTGACTAAGTTCGCAAAAGTCCTCAACATAGTCCTCAATACAGCGATAGCCAACACATTTGACTCTTTTATCTGTAAGGCAGATTTTCAGTTGCTACAGTGTTACAGTTGTTCCCAGTCATCTGGCACTGTCTGAGGTCACCTATCAAGCCAGCAGGGACATGTGCAAACATACAGAAACACAAATGCACACATTTGCACATGTGAAAACACTGCATATTCGTCTTCGGTTGTGGCAGGTTCAAGCTGAAATCCCCCCTGTTGAGCCAAGTGTTACTTTTCCGCTTGACTTGATTCCTGCATCCGCTCTCACGGACAAGCACACAGACGCATACACAAGACACACACATACTCTTTCAACACTGAGTGACTCATTCTACAAACACACAAAGACATATGCAGACTGATTAGGGCTGTTTCTTATGCGAGGGGTTCACAGTCTGGTGGGTGTTTAAAACTGTTTAAAGGAGGAAGTTGGGGACTGTCGCACAGTGTTTGTTTAAATAGTAATAGAGATTAAGGGTGAAAATGAAAGGAGAAAACACATCAGCTACAGCTGATGTTGCTTGTTGAAGAGGATTTTATATATTCACCCACAAAACAGGACTGTGGATTTTCAGGTTTGTATGGTCGAGTTTGGAGGTCTCTGTTCCCACAAACCAGGCAAATTCAGATTTCATCTGTGCTGTGAGCCATCATTAATGCTCTTTTTTATAAATAAATGTTGCTCCAAAATAACATCTCTGTGTTAGACACTCAGCATGGGCCATCCATTTATGTATAAATGCTTATTTAATTTAATAGAGGACATGCATTTTTTTCGATGGTCTCACATCGAACACATTTTAATAATTTGAACTGTATGTTGACTCCCAAATGTATTATTATAAGTTTTTTAATATTAAATAAAACTGGCTGATTTGTGCAGGACACCACTGCTGATATGTGCATTGGAGCATGACATACTGTTATATCCTCATTGATAATTTAACATATTCACTATGTCTGACTGCAAACGTAAATGATCCTTCAGGTTTTTTTCTTCCCTCAGATTCCCATGCCAATACAATACTCAAATTACCTCAACAAACCTCTTGTAACAGTTTGCCATATTAGGGATGTCAGTGTTTTCCTATTTTAGGCTTTGTGCTATTCATTGAACCGCAGCAAATTTTAATTAAGAATTCAACTACCAATAATGCAGTCGATGAGCTGTTCCTAATTCATTTATGAGGACAGAGAGGAATCAGATAATTATGGCACACATATCCATCATAGACAAAACTGTTTTTTGTTAAGTCAGCTGATAAGAAAATATATTTAGTCTTTTATCATTTTGTTCGTATTATTTTACTTACAAAAAAAATCTTAAATTTTAAATTGCTTACATGTAGTTATTGAGACTAATCTCACACTTTTTTTATTTTCTTTCTTTCTTTCTTTCTTTTATTTATTTATTTATTGTAAAGTTGATTCTATATTTAAGAGCCCAATAAATAATTGTATACATTTCCACACTAGGTGCCAAAGGCTCTAATAAATATCTCTGAAAGTTTGCTTGTTATGATGGTGGTGAGGAGATAAATGGTCAATAAAAAGTGGAGCTTCTGGTATCAATGTAATTCATACTGCAGTGACATCAGCATATGGGCCTGACAAGCAAAAGTCTTTGTCTCTGCTCTAAAGAGCAAGATCCTTTGTGTGTGTGTGTACAGATGCGTATATTTGTGAGTTCAATATGCATACTAAGGCCCTCATGAAATCTGCAGGCATATAACAGAAACATACAACTGCTGAACATGTGAAAAAAGTCAACTTATGCAACATTAATTCCAGATCAAAGATGTTCACGCCCATTTTCAGAACAAACCAATAAGAGAAGTGATCTGCGATGAAAGCACCTCAGAACACATTTTCAGTCAGCAACAGAGCACTCACGTGCACTTAAACACTCCTTCACACTTAAGAGACATCCCAATTACCCCTATATTCTGCCTTTCAACCTTCTCTTTCTTTCTCTCTCTGCTATCTGGCACATTAGCGTCACACATGGAAGTAACCAGTAACCATCTTTGCCTAGTAAAACATCCAAACCCCTCAGTCACAGGGCCCTTCAGATCTCCTGTCGTCTAACACATCGATATAGGGAAGCTTTTTAAAATCATCTACACACACTGCATACAAAAAAATCAAGAGCGCCGCCTTGAAGAGAAAGTGTATGAAAGAGGAAGGGGCAAAAAAAAAAAATGTTTGAGCATGAAAAGCAAAGCATGCATGTTGGGAGGGCTCCAAAAGAGGGCCAGCCAAGAAAGAAATTAAAGTACAGCGATTATCTGGACCCAGAATTAGAAGCAGAGGGTTTTGGACTAATAAACATTTGAAACGCACCCCAGGGCCCTCACCATCATTTATTACTCCACCATCTCCCATTAGTGTTTTTTTTTTTTTTTGGTTTCTTCATTTTTTTTTCTTCATCAATTCCCAGGATGTTTTAGGTAGATTTTATTAATTCTTGCTGGCAGGGTTTAATGAAAGGTTGTTGGTTATTTTTTCCTCTTCCTTTCTCAATCCCTTCCGCTTTGAATGTACTGATCCGGTGTTTTATTTCGGTCTTCTAATGACTGTATCATTGTTATCAGTAACTCTTGGCATATTACAGGTCAACAAAGAGTGGTCATCAATTAACTGACACCATCCCTACCCCCAACTAAGTGTCCCGTTCTTACCCCTCAGCACTACTCTTAAGCTTATCAACTACCAAAACAAACCACCCCTCTTCAGTCTCTCACACACACAGAGACTAGCACACTGTACATGTATACACACACTCAACTCAAAGCCTATACACATTCACAAAGATTTTATTGCAGTATATAAGGCACAGATATTCAGCAGCTGTGCTATTGCAAAATCAATTATAGTTTATGAGTTCTTAAAAGACAGTGTGCCACAAAATAATGCAATGTAAATGCACAAAAATCTTCTTTCGCATTTCATTTGGTGGCTACATACAAAAACAATGTTACACAATAAGTGTAGTCCAAAGAAATAGTTTTATCATGTGACTGGCGTAATGGCTGCAGAAAATACTGATTTTCCATCACAGGAATATTTTTTTAAATATATTAAAATAGAAAACAGTTCATTTTAAATTGCAATAATATTTCATAGTATAACTATTTTTACTGTATTTTTAAGCAAATAAATGGAGCCTTGTGAGCATAAGAGACTATTTATTTATTTATTTATTAAATTTAATTACATTTTACTGACCCCAAACTTTTGCATGTTAGTGTGCATGTTCACAAAATAATTTAATTGCAATGAATTTCATTGTAATTAGAAAAAATTATAAATAAACAAACAAATAAACATTGAATACGAAACATCACTATAGATTACATAAAACATTTCCAGGAAGGACTCTTGCGAATAAAAAAAAAAAAGCGAATACAGGCTGCGGGAAACACTCTCACACTGTCTCACGAAAGATGCCGCCCTCATGGCATCTCCCGACAGTCCAGAAGGTGGAAAGGATTTGTGAATCCTGGGAAGATTATGTGTACAGCTTAGTGCTCTGTGACCGCTAGTTTATACTTTTTTAATTCTTTCCCTCCATCTCACCCTCCCTCTCTCTTCCAATCCCTATGTACCCCCTCTCTCGCTCTCCAGGTAGACAACAGTAAGCTCACAGTCGGGTGGAGCCTGTGGCGAGCGAGCGCTCCGATTGGTTGCCGCGTTGCGTTTCACCGCGTCATGCGGGCAGGATGGATGTGAAAGAACGCAGGCCATACTGCTCACTTACCAAGAGCAGGAGAGAGAAAGAGCGCCGCTACACGGGCTCATCCGGCGACAGCGAGGACTGCCGCGTGCCCACCCAGAAGTCCTACAGCTCCAGCGAGACGCTCAAGGCCTTCGACCACGACTCCTCACGCCTTCTGTATGGAGGCCATGTCAAAGAGATGGTCCACCGAGAGGCAGACGAGTACAGCCACCAAGGTGAGTCACCTGCGCCTGTCATCTCTCAAGAGATGCAGGCCGAATCCATTATGACTTCACCCAGTATAGAAGTCACATGCCATACAGCTTTAGAGCACATACTGAAAAATAAATAATAACATATGCCTAGAAATACGACAATAATACACTTTTGAATGCATCACATTCAAATAATAATATATGGGATGTACAACCATAATTATACATAATTAGAGGAAATTAAGTTTGGTTTGGCACGACCGCACGCTTTCTCTGAGAAAACATTTACTTACGTTTGATTGAAAAATTAAGCAGATTCAAAACAGATTAGACAGATTTACGCACACATACTCACTCTGATACTTGTCTAGTCGACAGAGCGAAGAAATAAAACATTTTCTCTGATTAGTGCGATCCAAACCCCTCGACCCAGACTCTCATTTTCAGATCCAAAGTTTCCCTTATAACATATGCCCATGTGTCCCATTGGCAATAATGAATGGCACCATAAAAAACATAAACAGCATTATTGCGCTGTTCTGAAGTTTGCAATGTGCCCTGGTCGGCCACAGTTTTATTACTAATTATGAGCACAGAGGGTCCGCAAGCACTCGCACAGCCTCACTTTTATAAACTCCTGCACATTCATTGAGTTCTTTGTTGTTTTCTTTTTGTTTCTTCTGCATGTAAGGCTTCATCAAAATATACAGCAGTCAAGGTGAGTTTTGCGCTGTGGATATAGTACAAATGTAGATTTGGGTCAAATGTTTTTTTCCTTAGGTGTTGTGCTTGTCTGTGTTGCGATAGAGGTTAGCACTGCGTGTTTGTGTGCCCTTAATGTTAGTGTTGTGTTAAGCTGAAGGTCAGCCTAGCTGCTATCAGTCACTGGAGTGCTAGAGGCTCTGTCTGTTGAGTATGTTTATTTTAGAAAGCACAGGAAGTGACACCAGATTACAGCATGGGTTAAAGGAGCAGCCTGCCTCCAACCATTATGCAGGGTAGCCCACTCTATCAAAGAGAGAGAGAGAGAGAGAGAGAGAGAGAGAGAGCGTAAAGGCGCTCACAGATGTAGTGCAGACACCGTTGAGCTCTTGAGGGACTGCACTTCAGCCTCAACATGGTCTTCAACACTCTCCCCATAATCACCCTGCTGCAGACGTCACCTAACCCAGTCCCAAGCCCTAACCTTGGCACGCAACGGCGTTCGTCATGAAACTAATTCCTCCCGTGTGATATATTTTTAGCCTTTAGACCATTGCAGAAAGCGATACCTAGATAATTAATTTTGCGGAATAGAAAGAACCAGGCAGGCAAACTGAAATTGTTAATTAGCCATTACACAACAATGGCAGATTGGAATGACTGAGATCTGAAATAATGTAGCCTTGCTGGGAAGTGCTGCCATTCAGTTCCATTACAAAGTTCTATAAAGGTCATTACCAGTTCATTGATTGCTTTCAAACACAAATTAACACTTCATAAATATTTGAGCAGAAAAGCCATAATTGCTCAATTATCTTATCCTGTACAATTTCATCTACACTAATTGGTAATTTGGAATTTATATGATTTTAATTGAACTTCGGTGGAACCCCGATTATTTCTGTAGTTAATAGCCCTTATTAATTCCTGTTAATACAGGGGATCAATGGTTTTCTTTTTCCTTTTTTCCCCCTTTTTTATCGTCAGCCTAATAAAATATGCGGCTCTTTGCAGTGATTGTTTTAACATGACATTCTGTGGATTAAAATAATAAGTCACTTACATGTGAAAACTTTCTTAGGTTATTAGGTATATTTCATAAAATACTTTTTTGAATTTTTTTTATCATTTGCAAGGTATATATGACTTATTTGATTTAATTCAATTGATTTGATTTAGTTGATTTGATTTCTTTTTTTTCACAAAGAGATGCATTTAAAAACATTTTGAAATCATTTGATTGTTTCTTTGAGTCATAACCATTAAAACTTATGAGGATCTGGTTGCTAACGACTAAATAAATGATCCGTTTAAAGACCAATATGTTTCCGCAATATATATGGTTCTCAGTAAATGTGAGGAAGGTTTTTTTCTTCTGGCACTGCGGTTTTTCAGGCCTCACTGTTTTTGGAGCCGCGCACACCTATCACCATGGCAGATAAGCTCCCTCCATGGAATGCAGTCTGCTCCGCAGACTAATTCTACAGAATACAGAGTTTGGAAATCATTGGATCCAGACAAAAAGAACGGGAAATTAATCATAAGTCGTAGCGGCTGCTAAGTTGAAAGTCCTTTTACATTGACTAATGTGAAGATACATTTTAAATTTTGGGATTAATGGACTGTAAAATAATAGGTTATTTTTAAATAACTGTAAAATAATATGTTTATTTTTGCATGGATTCATTTGTATAATGTTTTAGTGTTGTGTGTTTTTTTATTTCTTTTCTTTTGTTTTATTTTTTATTTTATTTATAATTTTTATAACATTTTTGTATTTATTTGTTTGGTTGTTGGTTGTTTTATGAACATTTTTTGTTTGTTTGTTTGGTTATGGAATGCAAGTTAAAGAATTTTAAATAATTTATTCTTATATATTAAATTTGTATATGTTGTTCAAAAATGTAGTTGTGCATTTATTTGACACATTTGAGCATATTATTCAATCTTTTATTTTTATGTTGAAGTAAAGGTGATTATTCCATTACTTAGTATGTATTCATTGTCCACTTTTTTGTTCTTAGTTATTCTTAATTGTAGAAGGAAAATGTGTCAGTATTTAAAATGCAATTAATCTGTAAAAATTAAATTCTTTAAAAGTGATGTTTCATATGTATTCATAATCAGCATAGAATTAGCATTATCAATTTAATTAGTAGTATATATTAATATTTAAAACAACAATGCATTTCACTTTGTAGATGTGTTTTCTAATCATATATGATTTGTTTGAGGTAGTTTTTAATTTTAATATGACTTTCGAGATGTAGCAGTTTTTTGTAGTGGTAGCCATCTTGCCTTTGAAGTCAGATATTAACAGCCTGGAGACATTTCTGAAATTATCATCCAGATTTAAAGTGCTAAACGTACCAGTTTGACTGCTAACACACTATGGCATGATGAAGTTATCTTGTAGTCTGCACCACATTTCCCTTTACAGTCTATATTTGTGTGTGTTTCTGTCTGCCTGAAATGGCACCTATTCACAAACTTCAAGCTCAATCATTTCACTGCTAAAGTAATTTGATTTTAATTGCAAAATTATCTAATGATTAGACAACTGAACACAGCAGCATGCTAGAGCTGTTTTTTTCTGTTATTATTAGTATCACCTTCATTGTGCAAACTAAGTCTTACAATAAATAGTATGACAGTTTTGATTACAGAAAATCAAATATAAATTGTGATTTTGGCTGTGCCGGCTTGACACGGATATAAATAATCCTTCATTTCAGTAGCGGTTTTCCCTCAGTTTGAGATCTTGCACAGCCCAAGAGACTGCAGTCAGTTCATTAAAATATTTTTAAAGAGTGTATAAATGGCTGTTTAGATATGTTGCCGCGGTGTTCCCTCTCACAGCTAATTGCTGCCGTTTATCTGCATCTTTCCAAAATACATGTAGAAGGTGCACAGAGAAAACGTCATCAGTCTCACTGTAAAACACATTTTTCAAGCTCATTTTCATTTTTATTACAACTAGGGCTGCCAGGAAACATACATGGTGCTACAGGATAACAATTAGTCAAGTGACTGCCCACCGTTCTCAGCGAAAGTACTTGAGTTTGTATCTGTATTTAAAAAAAAAAGAATAAATAAAAACATAGGACCAGAAATTTATATTTTATGACAGTTCCACACTTGTCTCAATTTAAGTTGGTTATTCTTAATCTTGTTTTTTTTTCCTTTGAGTTGTTACTTGCCCACATATTTGTGCTTGTTAAAATTTCACCTAATGCATGTGCCTTTCTTTCTTTCTGTCTTATATGTTTTTCCCTTCCTCATTAGGTGAGCTAGTATACACATCATAGTCGTTCAGCAGAGAGCGAATTTCTGGTAACTTGGGTTTATAATTGTGGTTCCAAAAACCGATCAGGACTGACATGTGCATTGTATTGTGGGTGTTCGGGGAACAGACTGTTAAGTCTGCGGATATTTGACTGTCTGATGAGATTTGATAGTCTCTTTGTTCCACACATGGGGTGTTAGTTTGCCTTCCGTATAGTGTGTGTGAGTTGTTTACAGAAGCTTTCCTTTCTGTCTGGCTTTTGGGTCAGTTGATACAATCTCCCAAGGCAAAAAAAAAAATTTAAAATAAAAAAAGATAGATTGCGGTATCAATTTACAGCTTTATTTTTCTTTTCTCTTCCCCTTTCTTTGGAGCCGTGGATCTTTTCATTGCTCGACACTCCCCAAATGGCTCCCCAGATGCCAGCAAGGCCCATTTACCTGTCAGCTTGTGTTTTAGCAACACTCTATGGGTTCTTCCCATCCCACAGAACAGACCAACAAAGCTGAGCTTCTCCTGTCCACACACACACATGTGAAAGAGACCACTCTGTACTCACAATGAGAACCACTTACCATGACGTCCAGCCCGCGAGTGATACTGAGCCCTCTTAGGCTTTTCCCAGTCCCTCCAGTGAGGACAAACGCACTTTTCTCATGCTCATATACTTACAGTGGC